CACTCATGCTCCCCAAGAGTGCTGGTCATACTGCAGTCTCGTCTATGTCCAGGATCCTGCACCAGCATCCTGGTCTTGTTTGCCTGTCCCTGGTGTTGTGTGTGTGTGTGTGTGTGTGTGTGTGTGTGTGTTTTCAAGCTGCCAGATCTGGGCTGCAGGGCTTGAACAGTGGTTGGCCATGTATAATCTGGCTCCCTCTGTAGGTGCTTACCTGTTGTACTACAGAGCTAGTGCTAGCCGTGGACATTTCAAATGATAATTGATAGGGAAGGATTAATGTGTTTGTTACTGTTTTCATTACTCTCATTCTTGCCCATTTTTTGCCTTTTGTTCTTTGCTGGTTTTTGTTATTATTATTTTTTTAATTTGCTAGAGGGCGTGGGTGCTCACTGTAGCAACTCTGGGGCAGGGACAGTTAAGAAAGCATCCTCACTGGGAATGGCCACGCCACAATCTCTTCTCCAACATTCCACCCTCCTGCTGGGATTTGGAGTCTAGAGCTTGAACTGTGCAGCTGGCCATGTGGAATCCAGTCACCTTACCTGTCACAACCCGGGCTGATCCCTTCATGATTTTAATTGTATATGATTCCACTTTCTCTCCTTCTTAGAATATGAATTATGCTTTCTTTTAAAAATAAGTACCTTTTAATTTTTATTTTTATTCGCTAAAGGGTGCACGTGCAATCCACCTTCTCTTTTTCTTCTTGTCTGGATGCCGAACATGCATGCACATGTGTCTGACCTGTTACTCAGGCTGCTGAAGCCAGGATTTAAACTGGTTGGCCCATGGGGGATCTAACTCTCTCAACCAACTCTTTCAATTAGTTAGGCTGCTACTAATTACCTGTTACTTTACTGTTTTATGGATCTGCCCTAGTTTTCAATGTACATTTACATCTAATCTAAGTCTGTTTTCAAATAATACTCTATTGCCACAAGTGTCATCCTTGTATTTATCATAGCAGCGCGTTTCTAATTTCTCCTTCCAGTGTGGTCATGCCATCGCTGTCATTCATTTCACTGATGTGTCATTCATCTCACTATACATACCACGTATGAATGAAATGAACAACAGTGACAGCACACACACATACATATATACACACACATGTGCACATATGTTTTAATCAGATACGTTGCTGCTTAGTTTTGGACAGATTATTATCTGTTAGGCCATTTAAGATAAGAAAACTAAAAGTTTCTGTATTACCTTCACATAGTCCTTCCTTAATTCTCTTCCTTTATATAGGTCTGAGCTTCTGAGGGTCTTCTAACAATTATTGCATGGCAGGTCTGCTGGTGACAGTTTGTCAATTTTTTGTTTGTCTGAGGAAATGTTTTAGTTCTCCTCCACTTACAAAGGATAATTTTGCTAGATATAAAATTGGGGGATGCCAGTATGTGGCATGGAGTTTAAGGAGCTAGATCCCACATGACTGACTGAGCGGCTTGAGTCCTGGGGCTGGTGGCTTGAAAAATCATGCTGATCTTGTGTGCATGCCTGCCCAAAATCCTGAGAGGAGAATAGCGAAGGAACCACACTGTGCCATCCCCCCAGGGGTGACTTCTCTTCCCCTGTCTTTGTCTTCCTCTTGTGAATTCACATGCCCTATAGCAAAACAAAACCCAAACCAGAAACCAAAAATTGAGGGATGACACTGTTTTGTCACAGCTTTGTCTCAGCAGTGGAAGTATTTGGCTTCACTCTTGCAGTTTCTGAGAAGTCTAACAGAATTCCTTTCTCCTTTGTGGTGAAGTTGACTTTCTATCTACGACTTCTTTCAAGGATTTTTGTTTTTGTTTTTTAAATAATTGCTAGAGGGTATGTGCACTGGGGGTGGGGGAAGGCACCCCTAATGGGGCATGGTCACACTGCAGTCCCTTCTCCACTTTTGCATCTTGTTGGGATTTTGAGCGTGCATGCTTGAGTGTGTTCCTCAAGCCTCTGAGGCTGGAGTTAGAACTGCATGGTCAGCCATGTGATGAGACTGGGTGCCCTTACCCACCAGGCTATGAGGCTGGCCCAAGATTTTTTTTGTAATCTTATTTTCTGCAGTTGGAATATGATGTGTCTCGGTGTGTAGGTTTCTTGTATTTATCCTCCTTGGTGTTTCTGAGCTTCTTGGATCTGTGGTTTGGTGTATGACACTGATTTGGAGAAATTTTCAGTGATTGCTTTGAATATTGCGTTTCTTTCTTCCTTGTGTTTCTATAATGCGCCCTTATGGGCCTCTTGTAGTTGTCCCACAGTTCTTAGATACTCTGTTTCTTCTGTGAGTTAGAGAGATAGGGGAAGGAGGCACTGAGATACAGCACCCCAGCGGGACCTTGACGGTGCCCCACCCACCCCGCCCGGAGCTCCGTGGCCCTACCGTGAGCCCCTGTCTGCCTAGTGTGTTCTGGGAGGTCTCGGGACCTACCCTGGCGGCCTCCGTACGTTGGTCTGACCTGCAGAGTAGCACATGTTACTGCTGTGCCACTGTCCAGTCTCTCTTTTATTTTTCTGTTTGTTTTCCCCCTGACTTTGCTCTCTTTGCTTTTGGAATTCTGGAAATTTCTGTTGAGATCCTGAAGCTCAGAGGTTCTTTCCTTAGCCCTGCCTAGTCTAGTAATGAGACCCTAAACGGCTTTGTTTCTGTTACAGAGTTTAAATCTCTTTTCTCATTCCTTACAGCATCCCGCTTTCTCTGCATTACCCATCTGTTCCTGCTTGTTGTCTACTTTCTCTTACAGGCCGTGGCATATTAATCAGAGTTATTTTAAGTTCTTGGTCTGATAATCCCACCCCTACCATAACTGAGTCTGGTTCTCATGCTTGGTTTGTCTCTTAAAGCTGTGCATTTCACATTTTAATGTGCTTCGTAATGTTTTGCTGAAAGGTTGACGTGTTACTGGCAAAAGGGGTTGCTGTCATAGGTCTTAAGTAAGGCGACGGTGAGGTGTGGGAGAAGGGCAGTGCTGTGTGGTCCTCGGTCCCAGGCTCAGGCTTTATTTGGACTCCCGTTGGATAGGATGGTCTGCCCACATTCTCCAACTCCTGGAGGGGGAGCCCCGAGAAGTGGGTTTTTTGTGCCTCCTCCCAGCCTCCACTGGCATTTTAGCTGCCTCCTAGCCCACAGGGACCTCCGGTGGTGTTAGTCAGTTAGGTTTTCCTACCCTGCACTGGTGTCCTCAGGTCTCTGATGTCTGGAGACTGTTCATGTCCCCCTTCCTGTCTCCATGCTGGGGACAGATGTTGCCCTGTGACTTGGCTTTTCTGACAAGAGTAACGTTGAGTTTTTAGTTTAGTCATCCTTTTATTTGTTAGAATGAATTGGTGACTTCTGTGGTGCTTTTATGCCTAGACCAGAAAGAACTTCTCTTTATTCATTTCTGTAATTTTCAAGAACTGTTGTCTTCCCCCTCCTTAGCCTCGTGTTCCAGTTCTGTGGCTACAGTATTTTCAGATTTCTGGAGGATATCAGTTCTGTGTTTGTTTCTGGCTGTGCTAGGACTGTTCTTTGTCGGTTAGCATTTCAGATTAAAGGGTTACTTGGTTGGAAATGACTTCCCTAACCTTGAGGGAGTCAGCCCTGTGGGGGGTTGTGTGGCTATGTTGTGTTGAGAACTGGGAGGCTCAGCGTTAGGATGCAGGGACCAGGCTGTCCAAGCATTTGAGGCTCCTAGATCCAGCCCTCAGCATATCTGGTCCGGTTGTGGGAGAGTGAAGTGACGCAGGGAGGCAGAAGGGGTCTTAAAACCTAGTGCTGTTCCAGTAGACCTTGAATGAATCCTCACTTTTGTTCTTTCTTTTTTTTAAAGATTTTTGCTATAGGATGCACATATCAGAGAGACGAAAGTCACCTTTTGTGTCCTTCTCCTTCACCTTCCTCTCAGAATTTTGTGCATGCACGCACACACGCCCAGCATGAGTTTTAAGCCACAGGGTCCAGGACTCGAATTGCAGTCAACTACATGGAGTCCAGTGATATAACCATTACATCATCTGCTGGTCCTGTTGATGTCCTTTAAAGAGTGTTGGAGTTTGTTTTAGCAAGCAGATGTTGAGGCTGGGTCTAGAGCAACATTTACTGCAGTGAGACTGCCTCAGACTTCTAGTAAAGAAAGGGTCACCCTTTCCATGGTGCCAGAGGGGGCTGGATGGCATATAAGCAACTGCATTGCTTCCTTTCTTCCTGTTTCTCAGAACTGCTATGTGCACATTTGTGTTTAGCCAGGCTTTGTTTTGTTTATGGGAGAGGTTTTTGTTATAGAGAGCATGCGCTCACCAGAAAGAGACAGAGACAGAAAATGAGAAATCACCCCTCAGGGAGGAAGGCCATGCCACAATCCCTTCCCCTCCATTCTCCTCTCGAGATCTTGGGCATGCATGCACACGTGCCTGGAGTGAGTTTGAGCCACTGGGTTCGAGACTTGATCCTCAGTTGACTACATGGGAGTCCAGCAACATAGCCATTACACCAACTGCTGGTCCCGGTTTAGCCACGCTTAAGCCCTCCACTCCTGCAGGCTTTCGGAGCCCCCTTCTTGCCCACAGTCTGTTCCACAAACTCCAGCCACCCCACCATCCCCAACTCAACCCAATTTTCAACTTTGCAAAATCCCAGTGTTCTCCCTTCATACACCGTCACCGAAAGTTGCCTTCATGCATGGTGTCTTTGGGTTCATGCAGGGTCTAGTTGGTTCTAACAGGAAGACAGAGTCTGTTCCATTATATTGACAGTACTTCATGGCTAGGTTACCACTGTGAGCATCGAGCATTTGACTCTGGGTGTTTTCATGCTGATTGGGAGGGCGGGTAACCGCTGCCTCTGCCCGTTTGTCTTCCCGGATCCCTTCTGCATACCTGCTGTTTAAAAGTTAAACCAACAAATGGCTTTCTCACGTGTTGGCTGCTAGCCATGTTTTCTTTTTAATACTTCCCATGGCAGTTTTTCCGAGGTTCGGTGTCCCTGAGTTCTGAGTGTGTCCTGCTGACTGTGCACCCCTCTCTTACAGGCCATGCTGGAGTGTCTGCAAACATGATGAAGAAGAGGACGTCCCACAAGTAAGCAGTTCCAAAATGTTTATGTGCCGGACGCCTGCGCTTCAGAGAAACGCGCCCACGTTAAAAGCTGTTAAATAGCCACCTGTTTGTAGTGACAAGTGGGTTCCCAAGCCTAAATTCATGGGCGCGGAAGTACAGAAGCCATTATTCTTCTTCACTAATTTGTGCATGTGTGTGACCTAGTTACATATGAAAAAGAAAATTGAGATAGTATCTTAAATTGTATGATCAGGTTGGGTTTTTCATTTTCTTTTTTTGCCATGGGGCATGTGTGCCTGCTAGAGAGAGAGAGATAGGGAGAGAGAAATGAGAAATCATACCCCCCAGGAGGGATGGCCATACCACAATCCCTTTTCCAACCTCCTCGCGGGACTTTGGGCGCGTGCACACGCGCGCACACACACGCCCAGTGTTACGGTCAGCCATGTGGTTATCCAGCTCCTTGACCTCCATGCCACATGCTGGCCCCTGTATGGTCAGGGTTAACTTCATTAATATATTTGTCAGGTGCCCTCTATGTACCAGTGACAGTGCTGCCGCCCCCAGAAATGTCGCTCTCACTGTCCATTAGATCGTGTAAGAGTCCTTCTAGTCACAGATGGTAAATGTGGGGAAGACGCTCCCTGGCCCTAGTACCGTCTGAGGAAAAGCAGGCAGTTCAAGTAAAAGGAGAAGCTATCTGTCCTATGGTCTTGTTTTTCCCAGTCTCAGCAAATCGAAAATGGGGCGAGAAACAGAGAGACTGAAGCCAAAGTTCCCACAACCAGAGTGATGGTGACTCGTTTCAGGTGGTGTGATGGACGTGGGCTTGATGTGGGGAGCTTTGCAGAGGTGACCTTGTGGGGAGCAGGGCCTCTCGTGGCTGGTTTTCGGGTGTGGCGCAGGCCCTTCGCAAGTTCCTTAAGGTGTAAGGCTCAGCCTACTCAGGTCTGAAATGAGGTGCTCAATTAGAACAGTGAGATTCTCAGCCTCCTGGCACACTGGAAATCAGATAGAAAAAAACAGAACCATTGATTTGTTTTTCCTGCATGGTCTCGGGCTATGACTGGAGGGAGTCTCGGGCCAGGCCCCTCTGCACTCACCATGCAAGGCCCGCGCTAGGTCCTGGGTTCCAGTGACAGTGGGCAGCGCCTGTTTGCTCCCCAGATTGGTGCATGGGCACTGGAAAAAGATTACTGGAGGGAAGTCTCAGAACTGCATTTGGGACAGGCGCACCCGGCCCGCAGAGGTGTAGGAAGGAGCAGGGGGCCGTCTGAGGACTAAGACCACAGTGGAAAATACCGTGCGGCCGGGTTTTGGTTTTTAAGCAAATAGAAACAAACCTTGTACTTCCTGGCTGGGCTTGGGCACCTCTGGTGGCTGTGCCGTGTAGGAGTACACTTAAGAGAGAGGACAGAAGGGGCGTGTCTGAGACGAGGTCCCTCAGTGGTCTCCCTTCCTCACTTTCACATGTACCCCCAGGTAGAATGGGAGTGGGCTGCCATTGCAAAGTGCTGTATTTTCATTAGTTTATATTTAGGACGTGGATTAGGACTTGCCAGACACTAAGTAGATACATTCCCAGCAGTTCTTTTCCTTCCTTTCATACGACACAAACGCTTAATCCCAAGGAACTCCCTCCCTGATGTTGTGGCATGGCCTGGTAGTTCCCATGGTAAAGTGTCAGGTGGGATCTGAGTCCTCGTTAGTCGAGGACGTTGGTGCATGGAGAGATGAAGGGGTTTGTCCAGGGTTGTACCGTTCACAGCGTGGACCCAGAAATAGGCCGTGGGTTCCAGAGCCTGCATGTTTCATGGCCTCATCTGGAAAGTGCGTGGTTTAGTCATGCACATGCAGGCTGGGTAAACCCTCGGTGTGGGCTTCCAAGTGCTGCCTGGTGGTGGTGTCTTCAGTGGGTCAGAACATCATCTCGCTGTCCTCTGCTATTCATCCGCGACATCAACAGTGGTCGGGCCCTGGGGACTGGGGGCTTCTGCAGGCACCGCTGCTTCTCCCGTGTTCCCGAGTACGCACAGTAAAGGCGGTGGAAGACACCCAGGGGACCTGCACGAACGTCAGCGTGGCTCCTTTGTAGACCTTGTACTGAGATTCTCACCAGCAAAGCAGTGTTCTCTCTCTCTGTGTGCTGGTTTATATCTTGCAAAGGGACAGTTTCAATTTAACTGACTTTTTCTACTAACATCTTCAGGAGCCCAGAATAGGGGATTGCTTTTGTGTGATATTACTAAATAGATCAGAAGGCATGCCAGTCATCTGTACTAGTAGAATTGGGGTAGTTACATTTTAACTTTAAATGTGGGATGTCCTTAAATATCAGCTACCAAAATAAGATTTTCTTGTTGTTACGAGAGGGCACATGCACTTGCCGGAGACAGACAGTAGAGAGAGGTGGGGGGAGCACCCCCCACTGGGGTGGAGGTGCCACTGCAACCTCTTCTCCATTTCTCTGTCTTGTAGGGCTTGGGGACATGCATGCACGTGTACCGGGCATGTACCTCGAGCTGCTAGGGCTGGCATTTGAACTGTAGTTGAGATGTGGGATCCAGCTCTCCTAACAGCCTGTCTCCAGGGCAGGCCCCCAAAATAAAATCATTTAAGTGCTGGTTAGAAACAGGCAGTTTAGCCACTTGTGTGGAGCCTCTGTGAGAAAATGAAGGTTTACAACACAGACCTTTTGGTTTTGTTTTTTAAGGTTTTCATAATAGGGCATGTTCATTTGCAGGGAGACAGGATTAGTGAGAAATCACTCCCCAGGGGGAATGGCCACACAGCAATCCCTTCTCCATTCTCCTCTTGGGACTTTGGGCATGCACATACATGCTCCTGGTATGATTTTTCAGGCTTTTGGGTCTGGGACTTGAACTGGGGCAGGCCAGGTGAGATCCAGCACCTTAACCACCACACCACCAGCCCCACTATGCCACCTGCTGGTTCTAGATTTCTTCTTCTTTTTTGTTTATTTATTTATTTTTTTTTGAGAGAGAGGTTTTTGCTACAGGGCGCATGTGCTCCCCAGACAGACAGAGAGACAGAGAGATAGAAAGCAAGAAATCACTCCCCAGGGGGAATGGCCACACAGCAATCCCTTCTCCATTCTCCTCTTGGGACTTTGGGCATGCACATACATGCTCCTGGTATGATTTTTCAGGCTTTTGGGTCTGGGACTTGAACTGGGGCAGGCCAGGTGAGATCCAGCACCTTAACCACCACACCACCAGCCCCACTATGCCACCTGCTGGTTCTAGATTTCTTCTTCTTGATAGCAGAGTAATTAGAATTGTGCGTTTAAAGTTTGTATTGAACCTGTGAGTACAGAAGCCACCATAAATTAGTGTTTGCACTGAATCATGCTACCCTCAGTGTGGTCTTTGGATCAGTACCAGGGGCCATCATTCTGTCACGGGCGAGCCTACTAGAGTTCCCTTGGTCCCACTGCAGGCTGTTGAACTCTGGCATGTCTGGGGCCTGACCTGGGGCATTTTCACATGCCCTCCAGGCCATTCAGATGGATGCTAAAGTGTGAGAAGCACTGACCTGGGCCATTTTTGGAGGCAGTTCCTTAAGCCGATGGACAGCTGAAGAGCGTTGGCAGTGAGAGGTGGTTGCAGTGCTGTGTGCTTCAGACTAGAGAGCTTTCAGCGCTACACAGACGTCAGTTCTTCCTGCT